CACACACACACACACTCACTCACACACTCACTCACTCACAACCACACACACACACACACGTGTGTGTGTGTGTGTGAGTGAGTGAGTGAGTGAGTGAGTGAGTGAGTGAGTGAGTGAGTGAGTGAGTGAGTGAGTGAGTGAGTGAGTGAGTGAGTGAGTGAGTGAGTGCCCTTTCTACATGTAGCTGTGGCTGACAATAAATAATGTTATTATGAATACATTTGCCTCCGAGTCCTGCATGAACTGTGCATAGACTGTTTTTTAACATTGGTCATATGGTGGTACTTGGAGAGCCAACTATTTTCTCAGGTGGTACTTGGTGTAAAAAGGTTGAGAACCACTGTACTAAAGGATACAAATAAAGTGTGTAATGTAGGCCTGTTACTTCTATTATTGAGTGATATTTATAATACACTGTTCTGCTTTCTGCACTGGCCTCAGCAGCTGTTCTCACTGTAAATGTCGGCTCACAATTAAAACAAAAAATACATAGCCTAATATCCAGAGGAGACGTGATTAGTGAGTAAACAAACGGTAAAGGGCAGAAAGTCTGATGCACATTTGATCATGTTAAATAACTTATAATCACAACGGGAACAGTTTGCAGAGCTGTGCTTCGTTGACAATAGCTGCGTGCGGATAAGTGCAGCTTTGTTTGACAATGTTGGTAATCTAATGTTGAGATGACATATTAACCTGTTACATTGTTAATAAGTTAAAGGAGCTATCTGTGCAGTATATTACATGTTTATATTTGTAATGGTTATATTACAACCTGCATGTTGAACAGTTAATTAGCCTTTGAGAATATGTGTCATTGCAGAGAGAGTTATGATTATTGTTTGCTGTGTAATATATTTAAGTAACTGATTCTCATTATACTTGTACATTTTGTATTTCTCTGTTATAGACCGCACATACATATAGTCTAGGGCTGCCATCTTTAGAGTTCAGATTGGAGAGAGATGACAATATTAGATTTTGGTACACTGATTCATTGTGTTGCTATTAATTGTGTATTGCACCTATTCCATTAACCTTTACTCTTTTCAGTGAAAATATTATATGTTCTACTGTTGATATGTGTCTATGAACTGTTAATGCTTATGTTTATAGTTTAATGTATTTTAATTACACTTAGACCTGTTTACATCCTACTATCTCGCAACTATAGCCTGTTGTGAATAAAGTTTAATTTCATTTACACCCGGTCCCTGTTGCCTGAAATCAACTATGGAGGATACATCAGTGTAACCTCGGTTAAAGCTCCTCCAGAGAGCCTCCTCTCGCCTCTCTCTCCCCTCTATCACCTCACTACTCTCTCCTCTACATCAGTATACCCTCGGTTATAGCTCCTCCAGAGAGACTCCTCTCTCCGCTCTCCTCTCTCCCCTCTCCTCTACATCAGTGTACCCTCGGTTATAGTTCCTCCAGAGAGACTCCTCTCTCCTCTAAATCAGTGTATCCTCGGTTACGGCTCCTCCAGACAGCCTCCTCGATAATCGATCCTCGACGAGCCTTTAGAGGCATTTGTTTTCCTTCGAAGGCAGCGCGCCGACATCCGTTTCCGGATCGCTGCCGGAGGACCGAGGAGTCGAGGACGCGAGCATTTGAGAAATGACAAACGGCTCATTTTGGAGCACTCCTGTACGTCGCCTTGACGCCGGGACGACCGGCGGCCCTCCCCGACAGGCGCACAGACGCGAAAGCCCGCCCACAACTGCGTGCACGTCTGTGACGGCAGTTTTAATTGTACATGTCTATGCTTGATTCTAATATAAGATTGAATTAACAGGCCTAGCAGAGGTAGCGTATCATCGTCATTTTCCACTCAGGTGTCTTTCTCACTTTTAGAATATTGCTAGTCATTTACTGTTGGTTAAAGGGTCACTATATCTATTGAATAGATGATCCACTGAAAAATGTCTTATTAGATTTAGCTTTTGCATGGAAGTTTAAACACTTAATGCTCAACTAAACCAAGTTTTCTGCGTGTGTTAAACACACAGGAGACAGCAGTGGATTAGAAGATATTTTGTAACTTGGACTGTCCAAGGTCAGCAGCTTCCCCTGCCTCCATACATTTCTGCAAAGAATTAATACATCAAGATCAGAGATGGGGTTGTTACTCAAAAAAAGTAATATATTACATATTACTTTAAAAAAAAGTAATATATTACTTTACTTCGTAAAACGTGTTACTTTACTCGTTACTTTACTCGTTACTTTACTCATCACTTTACTCGTTACTTTACTCGCAGGGCCGCCCCTCCCTACAGACAGATCACGCAGACTGCGGAGGGTGCTTCATTTTGCGGAGGGAGCGGGAGGGGAAGACCCTGTTTACATCCTCACTCTGGGTTCGGGGGTCCTTAGCTATTAGCTTCACGTTAGCATGTTATCTTTGCAGGTGCTTGTTGAGGTTTGACGTTGTGTTTGCAGCAGTGGATAAAAGCTTCTGGCCTGGACACAGTTTGCACCTCACGGTCACATTCCTGTCCTTTCTTCGGACAAACTCAAAATAATGGGCATACCTCCACCCCTCGAAAGTTATCGCTGTTGACTCGGCCATGTTTACGCACTGCAAATGTTACTTTTTTCACTTTCCCACAGAAGTGGTTGTAGAACAAGCCATGGAAGAAGAGATGTGCCCTCTCTTCCCGGAGCCTGTGCCCCTCAAACACCCCATCCCATCGCTGAGGGAGGCCTTAGAAAAGGTGTATATCTTTTAACAATTAAATGTTTTATCATGTGAATATTCTGAATATAGTTATGGCGTGTGTTAATGAAGTTTCTCCTAACAGATAGATCTACTCCTGAGGTCCAGCGTTCACCCCACCAAGTTGCCAGCTATTTCAGCCATCGTGGTTTTAAATGACTCTGTTCTGTGGAATGGAAACTTTGGTCAGAAGAACAGAAGTGATCCCTCCTCTCCTGCACCCAATGAGTTCACCGTGTACAGGTGAGATTTATAGTCAAACAGTGTGGATAACAGGAGGAGGAGACTAACATAAAATATGAGAGAGATATGTCAAAAGGGAAGTGGTGATTTGTCTTAATGTCAAGCACGTAGTTATTAATAATATTAGTCCTAAAGACTGCTCAGCCAGAACACGAAATCTGATCAATAATCATTACAGCATGATGTAATCTGCGGCCTAATTCTTCTATTGGATTGCATTTGATCTGAGGCTTAAAGTTACAATTAGGATTAGACCTTTAGTAAGCTTGGTATAGAAACAGTGATAAAGGATAAGGAACCACTCAGTAAATGAAGTGCTGAAATCTGTTCTGTGCAGCAGTAGTGGGAACGCTATTATTAAATCAGGATACATTTATTGAATCATTAGTAATATGCTTGTGTGGCACTCACTTTAATCAGTGTGATTGCAGAATAGCGAGCCTCTCTAAGATCTTCCCCACACTGATGCTGTACAAGCTGTGGGAGGACGGCCTGGTGGGCTCTCTGGACGACCCGGTGGAGAAGTATGCTCAAAACTTCAGCATCAAGGACCCTCTGTGGAGTGGTGGGGGGCCAGCGTCAACCTCACTTAGGACCATTGGCATCAACTCTCCTGCACTCTCCCTGCGCAGGATGGCCAGTCAGCTCTCTGGTAACTGCACAAGGTTTTTATATTTTGAATGTCATGGCGGCCATCTTTGTTAATTCAACCTAGAAGGAACTACATAAATGAACTGCGATGCCTGGTTTCACACATGTGAATCACTATCGCTCATTTGTTTAGTGTTGAAAGTACGAGTGATATCTCCCTGGTCCAAAGTGCAAAAGAAAATTACCCCGTGTAAGAAATTAGCATGAAGCATATCATGTGAGGAGGGCGATAACGTTTATACTGAAATATTATTTTATACCCTGCTGGACCAAACTGAAAGAGCTTATTTTCGGACGTTAGGATCGTTCTGTTGTAAACTGTTGTTCACACAGGAAGTGACAGATGCAGTTGTGTGCAGGATGAAGGAGGAGCTTCAGAGAGAAGTTCCTTCTTTTAAAATGTAACACCCATGACCATTTCCTTAGAAAGTCCATGTGATTGTGGGACAGAATGATCTTTCCCTTTTCTGCTGTTGGGAAGGGGGTTCAAGATGAATTCCTAAATGTTCACACACCATCCAATATAATTTGGATGATTTAACTGAATTTATTTATATAGGATAAACCCATTGAGATGAACCATCTCATTTTCAAGGGGGTCCTAACATATAGTACAAACAGCAAGACAAACAAATCTAATTACAGTGCAAACACAGAGCAGAATACTACCATCCCAACACAAATTAAGACATAACCACAATACGGCCACAGAGAGGCCATGAACAAAAACATTTTCCCAGCAATAAATTAAATAAATACAAACATAGTGTTTAGTCCGCTTTCATTTTGCATTTTTACTTTTTTAAAGGAAATTAAGCATCGTATGGTTGGTGGTCATTCTGGGCAGTCTGAAGCAGCTTCAAATATAAATGATATTTTACCTAATGTAATGTTTTGGAGCATTAGTTGTGCACGTCCACAAGAATGAACATGTCATGTCCAGGCCTCATGCGTCACTTCTTCTACAAGTTCATAAAGAAGCTGGTCCATTGTGTAACTGGTGCTCCCGCTTCACCTCATTAAATCAGCAGTGTGTCAGGGAAGCACAAGGTCAACATCTAGGTCCATACATTCATACTCATCGTGTCCTTTAAGGCCCGGACACACCAAGGCGATTTCGGCCATTTTCGTAAGTCGGACGATGAAGCGTGCCCTGTCGCCCAAACTCAATTTGTTGTGTCCCGCACCGTCGGCCGTGACACGCCTTATTTGGCCTTTCATGGCCAATGTTGAATCGGCCATGCGTCGGGTCGGGCCATCGGGCCAAATAAATCACTCTGATTGGCTGTTCAGCTAGCGAATCAGTGCATGAGAAGCGAAACTGAAGTGAGGGACGTAAACAAACGCTTTAAGAAGGCACGAAGAATGTCTTCCGCAAGCAACACTCCAATGGCTGATAGCTCCAGTACCGCACGAGACATGTTTTCGATGGACGAGAGCAAAAATGGAACGCACACGCTATTTGTTGTTTGTTTATATCACGGAGTCTGTTCTTCTTCTCTGTCTTCTAGTTGTTGCCTCTTTTGAATGACGAATACACACTACCGCCGCCTGCTGGTAAGGAGAGTTATTGCCACTCACGCATGCGCAGTTCGTACGTGCTACTTGGCAGTCGGCTAAAGTCTTTGCGGTGTGTTCCAGTGGGACTGTTGGCCAAGAAGCAGGAGACGTGAGGCGACACAACAGTCGTGTTCCGTCGGGACGTGTTCTTTGGTGTCAGTTTGGTGTGTCAGGGCCTTTATTTGTATCGAGGACACCTCTCCGTTACCTCCTTCAACACTTTAGCTAACCTGGGCTTGCGTGAACAGAGAGAGAAGCTAAATGAAGACTGAGCTTTGTCCAGAAATAAAGCTAATCAGCTCTTCAGCTCTGTGTGCTGAAAGTAGGAGCCACTAACAGAACGAGGGGAGGGGGGGTCTCCTGAGGGTACAACTCTATCAGGATGTTATTACAATTCATCCTGAGGGAAAGATGAGTGTATATACCAAAATGTATGGCTATACATCCAATAATCATAAAGAATCCCCCTTGTGATGGAGCTAGAGGAAAAGTCTTTAGTGATCACCCAAGTCAGTAAGACATCTTGTCAGGGAACCAGGAATGTCTGTACCAAATCATATGAAGATCCATCACTAAATACTGTGTACTGAAAGCAAGTCATTTAGCTAGTTTGCTTGCATGCACTGTTCTGATTTATATTAGCTAAATAAAGGCCATGTTAAGTGGTGGGTTAAGTTCTTACTAGGGATGGTAAATGATAAATAAACGTCTCAATACCGTCGTGAGACTGACAAAATCCAACGCGATATTACATGGTTAATTTAAAAAAAAAATGTTTAAACCTTTATTTAACCAGGTGGTCCCATTGAGATCATCGATCTCTTTTTCAAGGGAGACCTGTCCAACATGGCAGCAAGTAGGTTACAACATGAACATAAAACAACAGATAACACAAAAGGACATGGTATTTACAGGGCTACATGTACAAACCTAGAGACATTGACAAGTACCAACAGTATATTTATATCTCACTCTGTCAATAAGCCTCACCTTCTTGGCAAAAACGGTATTGTTTTTGAAGTGGTGGAGAGAAACTGCACAGTTTTACCCACTGCTGTCAACCATGGCCAAAGCATATCTCTCTGTCCCACTGAGGTGGCGTTAGACTTTTTCGCTGTCCGTCATTTTGACAGACAGGATCGTAACATTTCCGTCATAATCCATTAATACCCGTCGGGTCTGAACTCGCCACTAACGTCTCGCGCTGACACGGAGTGGGGGGGAAAGAGAGAGAGAATGATGATCATCAAACATCATCCTGTCTGATGATGCTGAGTGAGTGACTTAGTGAGTTTGAGTTTGAAAAACTAAAGTGAAACTTGATTTATTTTATTGTGGGGTCTGATTATTCAATTTCCTTGTTTATTTGTGAGATGCAGTGGCACAAAGAAAATGCCTACTTTGTTTGGTAGTACTAGTTGGTAAAAAAAGCACTGGTTGTTCTTGTTCCAGTCTGTTACTGTCACTTTGTTTTTGACACTTTAAAATACTACTATCCTACTAAAATGCTGTACAAATCCGATTTATTATTTCATAAAGAAATTTTTTTCAAGTAAAAAATAAATAAATGTAAAAATAAACATTTCCCCAAAAATGTCTTTTAATTTTTTTTTCTTTATTTTTGAATATTGCGATAAATACCGTACCGTGGACTTGTTATCGCGATATCATCGTACCGTGAGTTTTTGGTATCGTTACATCCCTAGTTCTTACACAGATACAGTGTGTATGACAACTTTCATGAATCATTAACGTATTGCACCCTCTATCAACCAGTCCAAAAAAAAAGAAATTAGTCCACAGAGTTTTATTCACCAATGTTTTATATATGTTGCAGGGTTACCCAGAAGATTAAGGTCCACTAATCTTCTTTGGAATGGAGACACAGAAGCAGCTCTTGGTCTGTTACGGGATGATGTCCTCGTGGCAGATCCCGGCACCAAGTGAGACTCTGTTTTCTTCTGCTATGCTCTGTTCTTAGCTGTCAAGACTTCAGACCTTTTAAGCATTTATATGGTCTACAGAAAGAGGCTGTTGATGCATAGAACAAGGATCAATTAGGTATGTTTTACCAAGAGGAAACTCGTGAACATTTGATATTAATATATATTTTTCCCCCAGATGCCACTACAGCAACGTTGCTTTTTCCTTACTGGCCAACATCTTGGCCCAGAAGGTGGCGGGCTCAAACTTTGAGAGATGGGTGTCAGACAACATTCTGGAGCGGCTCGGCATGGAGGACACTTGGTTCAATTTAAGTCCAGCGGTTCAGAGGCGGATGGCTGTGGGGGTGTACAGCAACGGCGAGCCAGCCCCCCTCTTCAATCTGGGCTGGTACCGAGCTGCGGGCCAGATGTTTTCCACAGCTGCTGACATGGCCAAGCTTATGATGGCTCTTCTGGGCGCAACCGGTGGGACTCTGCTCCGTCAGGAGACCCTGAACACCATGCTGACCCCGGTACTACGCTGCCACAGCGGCTACTTCGCCAACTCCACCGGCACCCCGTGGGAGATCAATGAGCAGCGGGGCTACGATGTGGTGAGGAAAGATGGGGACCTGGACGGTTACGCGGCCACCCTCTCCCTGGTGCCACAGCTCAAACTGGGGATGGTGGTTCTGATGTCCGGCGTGCGGCCTGCAGGGCCGGAGCTTCTGAGCCAGGCCTACAGCCAGCTCATTCCTGCAGTGGAGAGGGCGTTCAGGGACGCTCCAAAAAGGTTAAGACCACCGCCCAGCCCAGCTCCATATGTGGGCTTTTTCACTTACAGGAATATGACTTTCTATGAGATAAAGGTGGACTCAGACGGGGTCCTGGTCATGCAGCAATTTGGACCACAGGTTGACACATCTGTGCCGTCCAAGTACAGAACTATTCGTCTGGATTACCTGCAGGATAGGGTGTTCAGGGTGGTGTTTGAGAGCCCGTACCCCTGCAAGCTGAAGGTGAACAGCGCGTCTGTCTCGCTGGAGGCTCAGGACAGACAGCTCTTCAACTTTTACCTTTTCAACAAGAAAGGTGTGTCGCCAGGGTTTGATTCCCCAGGACTTAACACTTACAGGGTGACCAGGATAGCCGGCAGACCATTCTTCACTACATAAAGACAGGAGTTCATTTATAGCGAGGTGGACACTGAAACAGGGGTGTATGTCAAGAACAAAGGCATTATGAAACTTGCTGTTGGATCAGTGGTCATGTGAGTGCAAGGTTAATGTGATTAATCTGGACTAGTATGTACATATTATTCATTCTGCTTATAATACTAATTATATTATGAGTTTTGTCCAACCCTCCAAGAACTAGCACAAGCAAAGAGGAACTGACCGCAGTACTGCAAACATGTTCCTGCAAACGTGTTTAGTTGTTGGACAATGTGGCGATATCCCTTTTCAACATTTTAGTGCCTAATGTGTGACCTTGAAAGAGATAAACACAACTGGGGGGAAAGTCTTGGACTTGATTTACATCTTGAAAGGTTTTTTATAATGTTAATACTCAAGGAGAGCATGTGAACATTTTATGAGCAATAAAGAGCTGCAAGATTATATTCTCAATAAACTAAAACTGTAGACTTTTTATTAAGTGCTCATGTTAATGTACACTTAATCATTCTAATCATCAATTTACATAGATATTCAATTTTTTTCAGTTAAGGTAACTAGAAAAATATCAAATGAACAGCCCTTTTTTCAGCCTGCTCCGGAACAGGTTATGTTCCAGTTAAGAGATCAACTCAGTGAAAGCACCACCTGCTGACCAATCAGAGCTCACAGCCTGCTGAAGACCAATCAGAGGTCAACGCCTGCTGACCAATCAGAGCTCACCGCCTGCTGACCAATCAGAGCTCTGTGTGCCGAGTTTAACACTATCAAGTCATATTACAGGATAAAGGAAATACAGTTTAAACTTCCGTGTGCAGGACAGAGGTACAAAAATCACAGACTGTGTGAACATTAATAGAATATCACTGCCCATCTTCAGAGCAATCTGACTATTATTACATTTGCGGCAAGCAAGCGTATTTAAATAGCCTATCTGCAAGAACATAAGTAACCGCAGCAAAGTAAGTCAGAGTACTGCGTTCAGTCAGCACTGTAAGTTCGCAATGCTGAGGTGTTGCACTTATCATTCATATCACATCATAAATAACATGATATCAAATTATCAATCACATCATACCACATCATAATATATATTTCCTTATCTCTGTCAGCTTCTCGAGCCGTATACACATACATATACTGTATTCAGAAGTGTTATTTAAAACAACACATTAAGTTGACCAAACACTCAATTATAATTAGAGTAAGATCCAGTGGCGAGCCGTGACTTTTATACCTAGGCCCTCTGACCCCCACCCCTTCCCTCGAAAAAATAAATAAAAATAAGAGTTATTACGTCACAGCCTTTAAGTCTATGGTCACAGCGTATACTTCAGCGGAATATCAAAACAGCGGCCAGGGGTGCAAAACCCATCAATTACAGCGACCCTCTACCACACAGAACAACACCATTATAAACACCAATCATGACAGGGCACCCACAGCCAAGTAACAATTACAAATGAATTAAGTCGGCACGGTGGCCCACATTGAAAATGAAGTAGTCCTACCTTTGATGATCAAATCACAAACACTAAGTCCATCCTCCTGTCCTTTTGGATGAAGCACTTGATTGCGGGGTCATTCAGCTGATCCTTTGCCACTCCAGTTTATCATTGTAACTCAATCTTGAAAATGACTCGGTTAATAATTTCGG